GCGCGAAAATCGCACGTTTTAAGACCAGTCGCCAGATTAACGTTGGGTCTTTGACACAGGGAGGGAACTTATTATGCAAGCGTCGCTCGCGCTCGCTGTAATGAGAATCGCGCTCGCTCCATTGTTCGCGGCCCACCTCGCCTATTTCGTATTAGCGACGCGCGCGAGCGCGGCGATAACGCGNCCCCCCCCCCAGAGATATTATAGTTATTTTCAGCCTCAACTATCATATTCTTTTTATGGTTTCAACCGCGTTGTAGTAGTAGTCACGTAATAATAGTAACATGGTTGAAAAAATTTCAGATTTTTTTGAATAAAGTCCATATCGATGGTAAAAACCGATATTTTCCAGACGAGATCGGCACGAACCGGCCTTTTCTATAACCTGATAATTCTATAACCGATAAAAGCAATAGGAAATCTTTTCATCGATTTACGCTGATTCATTCTAAATCACAGGTAGGCGGATATAGTCTTTTAGTCTTAGCTATGATCCTGTGTGCAAAAAGTTGCACGTAAGCAACAAATGAGAAGCGCGCTATTATACTTCCTATGAATCTTACCGCGCAGCTGTGTTAACAGAATTATTGTGCGCTTATCGTTTAGTGATCAATATGCATGTAAGGTTATTATCATTGACGCTATAATAACATTTACTGGAAAATGAGGAAAAAAAAAACATTTACTAGAAAAATAGTCTTGACTATAATTCCCACACCATATTGATCATAGTGTTAGAAATAGGAAATATTCTTCTCTCGGTGCGGGTCCGCTCGTGAATGCACCTGCTTTCGAGCTGCCGTCGCGAAATTACCCGAGCGACCCTTCGAATACCCGGACGCATTCCGCGACTGCGAGTTTACGGAATCGTGAGCGCAAATGATTCGGTGTGCGCGAATTGCACTCGACTTGGCGCCGAGTGCAGTCACGGGCCGGGAAATTAACGTCCTTTAAATCTTCGTCGCGTTATCATTGTCAGCGCGGCGCGAATATCGCGGTTGAGCATTCCTATTTGTATATTCCGTATGTTATTCGTGATGCGGGGGCAACTTCCGTTTAAACCGATGTTTACCGCGTAAACATGTTGAGCGCTAATTGCATTAATAGCAATGGCTATAACGCGCGCGCGCACAGTGCTCGTTAGACTTGCCGCGCGTTTCACGGCTCGCCAATTTGTGGCAGCGCACAAAGCCGGCGCAACGGCGGAATAATAAGCGGTTTCACTTCTGAACGGCGACTTCCTTCCTGCGTCTTTTTGTAAAACGTCCGTTGTTGTACCGGCGGTATGCCGTGGGATGAAGTAACGTCAGGTACTAGAAACGAACTAGTCCGTATGAGTGAAACGGCGGGTATCGAAAAAGTTGCTCACGAGTTGGTTGCTAATTACACTGTCCAGCACCGTTTCACAACACGAGCGTGAATAGTCATTTCCGATATAATTTTGCTCGCTTAACACGAATCCGTGGTTGAAATTTGGTTATCACGCGTCATAATTTTGAGAAAAATAACGCCAAAGAAACCGAATACGATAATTTTCAGAGTTTTCGTGACGTTGTAACACCGGCGGAAAAATTCTTTTCTAAATTTCATTGATATCACGCGGAAGTATCGAGTTTTAACTTTAAAATGCACCATTTTGTTTCGGTGTGATTTTTTGTTTTTGAGATAAAGTGCAATTTCAAAATAGCCCTTTTTCATGTAATACATGGGAAAGATGAAATTTTATTCCATCTTAGTACTGCATTATGTGGAGAGTGTAAACGCTTTTGTACTTATATAATATAATCGGAACATACTAAGTTAAAAAGCAACATGAAATTGAAGTAAAATGCAATATAGCAGGAAGATCTTTGTAGAGAGCGAGCAAAAACACATCGGAAATGACTATTCATACTCGTGTTATATAAAAAAAAAAGTAAAATTTTGTCGGACAGTATTACCGTGTTTAGCGGGACAGTAAATTAAAGAGGATCACGCGGAATATCCTGCTTTCCGCGAAAGAGTCTTTCGGATTGGTCCCGCGACTCATCCTTTCAATTCGTCGCGCCTCTTTTTACGAATATTCTGCATACAAGTCAATATAAATTAAATTCCAGCACGCTTCCGAGAAATTTAGCCGGAAACGTCGCATCAACGCGAAACATTCATAGTTATTATCGAGAACGTAACGTATCGCACGAGAAGTGAGGGGAAACAGATATGAAAAAATAAAGAAAAATAATTATTCATCTTACAATTTGCAAGATAAAATAATTTTTTCGAATTAACATTTTATATACAAGCAGAAAAATGTATTCTACATCAGAAGATGTAAAAAAAAAAACTAAAATGATGAGTGTAAATAAATAATGAAGGTAAATGTAAATAAACTTTTTATCACACAGAATCGGCATCTCACTGAAAAGAGAAACATTTCATACTTGTGGTTATAATTATCATAGTGATAGAATCATTACGAAGAGAATCACTTTTCTAGCAAGTGTTATTATAATTTCAGTGATGATAACAATTTGTATGCATATTGTTACTACTATTTTTGTGATTAAAACTATAGTCGAGGCCGAAAGTAACTATAATTTCTTTCGGTACTTCCCAAGATTGTGTTCGATACATATATAGCTATTGAATTATCTTTACATAAATTAGACAAGAGAGATAAGAAAGTTCTGACGTAGAATGAGCGGTAAGAATGATAGGTAAGTGAGAGCCTGATGTTAGATGTTGAATTTATAAATCCTAGATAAAGGATAAAATTGTCCGATGTAATGTACGTGCCAAATTATTCTCTCAGACGTACAACGTACGAGTGGTATTGTACAGTAACTGTTATTTCCACGTCGAACACGACCCCTCTCAATCCGTAATTAATAATCATACTAATTAATACCTCTTTAAATAATCCCCCCGAAATTCGTAGAAATTTATATAGTATACATATGTAAGTGTTGCAAAAACAATAAAATTAGATAAATTCGAAATGTGCACTGTCCGAAGGAATCAAGGATGAATTTTCTCGAGCGAATCCGCGGACCGATTTGACAGGATCGATGATTAAAAGAGCTGAAAGAGTTTTGCAGCGGAACAATACCTGACTAATCAGTGAAATGTTTGAATATTTGCAATCGGGTCCATTTTGCCACGTCACACCTCTCTCTTTCTCAACGAACGCGCAAATTCGAAGGTTTCGGACAATCTTGGCTGTATAACCGCGGACAGACGTAATTTGCGTGTCGCATACCGGCGATACTGCATCGAAAGTCGCAAACGAAATATAGCGCAGGCGCACGCGGACAAATAGCTGCGAATACTTATTTCTCCCGTGTCACGCGAGGCAATAATACCGTGCGACACGATAGGATCACATTTGCTAAATATAATTTCCTCGCTTTGCGCGTACGTGACCTCGCCGTGGTGGTAAACAAAATCAGCTTGTCGACACGGCAGCGGAGAAATGTCGACACTTTTCCGACGTACGTGGAAATCCACCGGCGCAATCTCTCGCTGTGACGTGTAACCGTTCTTACGATTTTTCCGGGCGAATTTGCAATTAGCGAGTTGGAACTCACCTTACGGAATTCTCCATCATGCAAATCGGCTTGATCGTGTTTCCTACGCGTTCGTGGTCGCTCACGGAATGCGATAACGCGAACGAAACTTTTACTACAACTTAGCTTAGATATTAAATACTAAACGTTTCTCACGTCCGTCACGTCGAGAGGTATTCAGCCCAAAAATCGCTGTCAAATATTCAACGTTCGAATCACTTCATGATGTAACTGAAGTACAACAATAATTGAGAATGTACCGGTGTATGCAATCGTCCGACCTGCGACCTTGTTTTGCTTGTGTTCTGTCGTGTTTACTTGTGAACTTGTTTCTACTAACTGCTGCGCGCGGCTTCGTCGCGTCCGCCTCCTTCGGAATTGAATTTAAATCGTCCGAGCGCAGCAGCTGCAACTTGCTTCCCCATTTAAGCCGCCGAGAACTTCGCTCTCACGTACGAATCGCGCGATTAATACACCCAGTTTCTCCCACTCGGTGTGCTCCCACGGTTACAAGACGGCGCGACAAGGCGATCTCTTCGCGAAGTAAACAGAGCGACGAGCGAATTTTCGCTGATATTTCATACTTCACGTGTGCCAAGGCGACGTGCGTTCGAACGCACGCTCCGGGCAAACGGGATGACTCTTCGTCACACGTATCCTTCAAATCGTGACGATCATCGGCGCGAATCGGAGGAACACGCACACGCAGTACAGTCGTGTGTGCTCATTAATAGAGAATTATAGTTAGTTGCGGTGCCGACACATATTTGACAGAAGTAGCGCGTGTAAGATTATTATCACTGATACTACAATCACACGACAGAAAACTTATTAGAAAAATAGCTCTCCCGACCATTTTTACGGTCGAAAGGGTATGCTTGGCGTCAGAACTAACTATAATTTTCCATCAGTGCTGCGCCATTCCCTGGACGGGAAATTTATGCGATTTTCAGTCTTACGTATAAGCTAAAAATCGCATAAGTAACTGTAATTATAACGAGGAGGCCGCGGTGATTTTACACGGAGGGAAATAATTTTGCCGCAAGTAGCGAAAACCATCGCTCGCTGCTGCATATTTCGTCGCGACGGCGATAAAATTTCGTCGGCGTGTACCGAATTAACGAATTTATTAATAACTCTTAATTTATAATTAACACTCTTAACAAACATATATAATAAGTACCCTTAACACACAGTAACCGACAGATGTTGCGACAGAGAGTAAAATTTACTGTACCGGCGAATCTATCTTTCTCCGTTTAGTTATGACGCTTTCGATCTTACGTGTGTACATGTGTAAAGCCGAAAACTGTGTGTGATTTCGGATCTGAGGATAAATGCGCAGCGTGCACGCTGCGTCGATTGCACTGCGTTCGAGAAATATCTATCGGCGAAATCCGCTTGAGATAATCGCTAGGTGATCGCGCGCCAATGAAATCCATCGTCTGAACTCACGGGTGATTCGGCTCAGCGAGGGCCGGTCCGTGGCATCCTACTCCTGGGCGGCCACCTGGCGAGCGTTACGTTCTCGCAGGAAGCACTGCTCCTCGTCGTGATTCGCGCACGTGCACCGCAGGCGTTATCACGCTTTACTGGCCTATCTCACTCCATTATCGCGGCGCGCCGTTCACTGGCGTCGCGCGTCGACAGCGGACACTCGCGCCGATCGGGGAAGCGGGTCACCCACTCGATCGTCCCGCTCACGAGGAGCATCTCCGGGGGTCCGCGTGGATCCTCGTGTCGCGCGGCCGGGATTCTCGGGGCGAAAAGCAGCGAAATTCCCTCACTCGTCCTCGATCGGCCGGGGATCGACGCGATCGGGAGCGTTCGTTTCCACTCGCGGGCTGAAGCACCCGGACGGCCGCCGGTCGCGCATTCTGTCTCCGTCCCGACTCTCGCCCACACCGGCGTACGATGAACCCCCGACGACTATTCGGCGCCGGGGAAGCCCGTATCTCTCGTCGCGCGGAAATCGACTCTACGCACCTCAGCCTCACTTCCTCACCTCGACGCACCTCACGGGACTTCGTTCTGCGCCGCGGTCTCACACACACACATCGCGCACACATACGCGGGAGGAAGGAACCTGCCGGAATTCATTCGCGGGTCGGTACGAGTCGCGCCGGCGGTCGCGCTCGCGGCGCGACAAATCCGAAAGATCCGCCGCGTCGTATCGCGCACGAGCCCGGCTCCGTCGCGACGAATCGGCGCAAGCTCCGCGCCCGGAGCTTCGACTCTCGAAGTCGATTTCGCGAGCGCGCGGAAACATTTCCTCCCCCCTCTCTCCTCCCCCTTGCCCACCCTCTCTCTCCCCTCCCTCACTCTCTATATATACGCATATACATATATATATGTATTTATATATCTGTTTATCGCCGTCTCCCTCTCGCCCTGTTCGTGGAGGAACGCAAGACCGAACTGCAGTTCGATTCGTTTCGATCCGGAAATCTGCTCGCCTCTTTGGGACAGCACGGTGGCTCTCTCGGGACGAGAAGGGAAGGATGATGAGAGAGAGAGAAAAAGGAAGCAGGAACACAGGAGCATTCGATGGAGAGAGACGGCCGGCTAAATAAAGATCACGAGGGAGAGATAGAAGCGGACGGACGAAAAGAGAAGAGAGAAAGAGGCAATTCTCGGAGCACTCGCGCGTACTCAGCAAAGCTCGCAGCGTGGCGGGTCGGCCGCGACTGAATCGTTGCCGAGTCGACTCGCGTCGAGTCGAGCTTGAATGAGCCAGCGTAGCTCGGGCTCGCGAGTGGGAGAGAGAGGGAGGTGGACGCCGGACGGGTGGGACGAGGATGGAAGGTTAGACCGTACAGCACCGAGGGAGAGCTTAAGCCACCGCTGCCACCGGCGAAATTTCCGAAGACCCGTGCCCGCAATCTTTAAAGAGATCGCGCTCCTTCTGCCCCGGCTTTAAAAGCGGTCTCACGACGCGCGCGTCCGACTCTCAGCGGCGCACCGCGCTTCTCTCGGATGAGATATCGTAGGGCTGATGTTAACCCGCCGTTAACCCTTCTACTGTCAAGGGATGATCCAGGGCGGAGAGCGGTCGCGTATACCGCGTATTAGTACTCATGTAAATCGTTGTCACTCACGAGCGTCGGGCGACACGCGAAATGAAAAGAGAGGTAGACAGGTGGTAGATGGATGGGTATAGACAGATAGGATAGATCGGATAATTTCTTTCGCCCTGGAGGCGAAGGTCCCTCGTGGAAACGACTTACAGAGAGAATGCTTACGGTGAGGCGCAACAGCGAAGCGGGAAATGGAAGGGAGTGTAATGTTGTTGACATTTTTTCGCGTCTCCTTCGAATTTGTTAGGTTTTCGCGTTAACTTTCAATCGCCGGACGGGTTAAGTCCACCGAATTTTCACATACGAGGTCACTTAAAATCTGAGGTTTGCTTTTCACGTTATTCTTATATCATGAATTCACTTCTGAAATTGTGCCCACGTATCATCGAAACACCCTGCATATGCCGATTATTCAAGATTCAACAACTATAATACCTGAATTCTTCGTTCGAGTCAATTTGACGCATGACTGTCGAATTAAGGTTAACGCGCGATATAAACCGAGTGATAGGATGAAAGACCGCGGAGGAAATGATTTATTTAGGAGGAAAATAGATCGGAAAATCAGCGGGATAATCTCAACGCTCCCTCTGCGACAGCGGGAGGGTTGAATGGGGGTGCGGAGCATTCTGTAGCGAAGTAGTAGCGAGCAGAACTCCGGAGCAGAAATCCGCCGCGAGATCTCTATGGAAGCACTTCGTCACGGCGAAGTCGCGCTCTTTCTTATTGTGTTCGGCGCAGAACTGAGGTTTTGCCGCGCGCGCGCGCGAACACNGGGGGGGGGGGGGGGGGGGATCGGGGTGAAATATACGGCGGCGAAAAGCCACGACTGTAAATGGATACAATTCTCCCCGGGCCGGGAGGAGAGGATTTATAATTGCCGAAGAAGAGGACGGGCGAGCACGCGCGCTCGCGTTTGCGATTTATTAAATCGCCGACACAGTTGACGGATAGTTTGTCTCGCACAAGGCTGCAAGACGCACCGGAATCCCCAGAAACTGCGGTGTGAATTACGCGAATGCGCGGGAAGCGATTCCGCTCGCTGCTCGCTGTTCACAGGTTTTTGTTTTTATTTCCGTAGAAGAGAAGAGCGCTAAAGCCGAGCGCTAGTGCGAACCGGAATTGACGAGCGCGTTGATCAGGAATAAAGAACGCTCTAGTAGAATGCAAGAATAACGCGGCGTTTAAATTCTTTTCACTATTCCCGTGATTAAAACGAAGATAGGATACTCGTTCTTCCCGAAAACAGCTATATTTCTCTCTCAGTGCGGTCGCCGGCTCGCTGTTCGCCTTTCGTACGCTCGTTTTATATCTGTCGACGTCTTATTTCTCTTTTAACCTACGCTTCGCCCTTCGCACATTAATTTGTAGCGCGATACATCGCGCTGAAGAAGAGTCTCAGGTGTAACCGAGACGTTTAGTCCCGCTGGGGTGGGAAAAAGTGTCGCTGACATCGGTTCTAGAATAGGTAACAAGCTTGACGAAGTTGCGGCGGCGGGTCGACCCGCTCGACCCGGCGAAGCTTCCGCGTTCGACTTTCCCACGTACCCCGCGCAAATTTGTCCGCGCGCGCGCGCGCGTCACTTCGATCTCCGCGGCCGCTCGAGTAGAGGACGGACGGGGCTCGGTGGTGGCATATTTTCGCGATATGTCGATATTTCCCCTCGGGGAAATCGCATGTGGCGCGGGAATCCCGTATGGGGTGAGGCCTCGGTTATCGAGCCGTTTTCGCGCGGCGGAAATCCCGTATCCAGCGCGAGATGAGCGCGCGCAAACAGTGATCAAAAGGCGAAGTGCAAGGAGGGAGGGGGGAGTGTTGACCTATTTTTATTATCCTTACCCGCCATTCACCCAGCTCAGAGATGTATGCCGATGCTCTTCTCGCCCTTCTCTGTTATTGTCTCGCCACGAAAGCGCTTCATTCACCGGAACCTCTCTCACTCCCTCCTCTCCCTTAAACACGCGCGGTCTCTTCCGCCGTGTTCGTGTTTGTTACTCGATTTTAACAAACCCAGGAGATCCGGACCCGTCGATGGGGAGAAATCCGCCCGCGTCTCGAAACGTTCGTTCTCGCCGACATTCAGCCAGAGCCGAGAGACAGTGTGTAATTTCAGTTCACGCGAGATATGACGTAGCGTCAACCGCGCTTCTACGCGGCATTATAATAGCGACACAGATTCGTGAAAATTGATGTGCATACACACGCGCGAGAGAGAGAGAGAGAGAGAGAGAAGGCGCCAGCGTGGTTTACACTTGACGTTCGAGGAGCGTTCCCGCTCTTCGCGAGATATCGCGCTCGGAAATGGATGAATCATCACGCGTAATTAACAGGTGATCCGCTCGCGAAGTAAGCGCCTAATTCACGGCTACCTACGACTGCCGCGACTACGGCGACTAGACGCTCGAGGGCAACGACCAATTCCAATCAATATCTCGCATATACGCGAATCCGATGCGCACGTATCGAGGACGTATAACCCCGCGCGAAGAATAGAAATCGCGAAGAGGGAATAGAGTCTCTCTCTCTCTCTCGCGCGCGCGCGCGCGCTGTCTCTCTCTTTGAGTTACGTACTCGCCGTACGAGAATACCGGATTCCGCCGGATGGAAGTCGAAATTGCGATCTATCTCATCTAACGACGCGCCGTGCGAAGGATTTCCTCCTGTAACGCGATTGCGGGAGCCGCGCGCGTTAATATTAGACATCATCTAGCCGCGGAATCAACTTCGGTGAAAACGCTGCTTCAGCGTCGACGGCAACGCGCAACTTCGCACGGACATAAATCGCGCTTTTTTATTAACGATCCTGTCGTTGGCACTCGTTTCGCGACCGTTGTGCGCGACAAAACCGATAACGCTCTATCTCCCTCTTTCCCCGTTATTTCTTTCTCCCTCTCTCTCTCTCTCTCTCTCTCTGACTCATCCTGCCTTTATTCGACCGCTCTCTTGCTCGTTTTCTACCCTCTTTTTCTCAGCGCGCGTGCACGCGCAATGATAAGCTCGTTAGCCTAAAATAGAATAGAATTAACTAAATAATAATTAGAGGTGATGAAAACGCCATTCCACTCTTTATCAGCGGCCGTTCCACTCGTGATTAGCGCGTTATCGGCGTGTTATATTTCGCGAAGAAAGGCTAACTCCATTTCCCTGAAGAGCATAAAATTGCATTCCATTATAAATTACAAGATTATGTTGCTTCAAAGTTTGTCGCTTTCATTCGGCGTTTCCGATTTGCGGGGTTTTCCAACTAAAAATCGCAGTGACTCGTGACGGTGTATATAAAGAGAAAAAGATTTCTTTGAATTTAATAAAATTCCCTTAAACGAAACAGATTTATTTCCGTTAGAGTGGAGCAAACAAATATTTGATTCAACAAGCAGGATTATTTGCTTTCTCAAACAATAACAAACCAAATGATATCTGAATACTAAATTATGTTTGTACTAAACGAACCGGAGTCAAAGGAACGTGTACACTAAATTGAAAGAAACTTTTCCCCCTGTGCCTTGTGAGTGCCATCAATTTTAAAGAGAACATATAAATAGAGGAGAAGGAAGATGACATGTTAATTGGAAGCCGCGCGTCATCGAGTCCCCGGTGCAGAGAGCGGGATCTCTCCCTGAGAGAAAGCTCGACGAGAGCACGAGGGCTCGTAATCGATATTACGACTTGACGTACTACCGGGATCGTTTTGACACGCGCGACGCACCAGCGCGACACGCTTCTCAACTCTTTCAACACGTGCCAGCTGCTTCATCGGCATTCGATAGCCGGCCGAATATCGACATCTCGGCCGAGAGATGAGAAACATCGTTGACACGCGGAACAATGAATAGCTAACGTTCAGCCGGCTGTAGCAACGCTCTGGTTGCGTCTGTATCTCAGCTTACTTACGCCTTATGTGTGTGTGTGTGTCTTTGCGCCTACGCGGGCCGATAACGCTAAATTGCCGTCGATACTTCTCTCCGACTCGAGCGCGGAAATTACTGCTTCGTGATACCGCGGCGCCGTCCCGCCGCACATCGGCGATGCATTCGCGACTGCAGTTTGCAGTTTTGCAACGTTACCGTGATGAAAAAGGGTTGCAATTAAAAAACGATCCTACGACAAAGTAAAAGCTGCAAGGAATAAAACGCATCGGCTACGGACCACGCGCAAACGTGGAAAGTCCATCAAATCGATTTTTCGCCGTTCGTATCGCGCCGCGACTCGCTCATTGCTCTGTTGCGCGGCAAACAATCGCCGCTTTTGCCTATATACAGGGTGTCCCGCTATAAGTGGCCATTCTCTTTTATTTTCTAAATTAAAAGAGAGAGAGAGAGAGAGAGAGAAAGAGAGAGAGAGAGAAAGAGAGATATTAAATTCTAAGTGGTTTTAAAATTTATTGTGAGCATCTTTTTCGTGTGTTTGTTACATTATAAATAATTTAAACTAAACCCAATCGAGAACACAGTGGTTGTCCATTAAATATATCTAAATTAAAGGACAAAGAGGTATGTATAATTATTTCCAGTAACATGACTATTTCAATGTAATGAAAGTTGTAGAGCGCTGTTTGTAATGAATACAACGAATGATCTATATTATTTTATGAGTTCCACAAGTTTCATGTG